GCCCATGAGAGTAATTTCTCCAATATTCGAGTTATGATGAGTACCCTAAGATTGTCTTTTTCATGCATGAATTATCTTGTTAGACAAAAACATATCCTTCTTGCTTGACCTAAAACGAAAAAGAAAAAAGAAACAAAAAGTGCAAAATAATAAAAGGAGAAAATTACCTTCGCACTAGTGCTTCCTGATTTTCAAAACATGAAGCGGGGGTGGGTGACTTGCTGCAATTAGATGCTCACTAAGCGTACGGGTGTGAGGCTTATATAACTGTCAAAATTTGACATTAAAATTCTATTTGGGCGATGTGGGACAAGATTTCGTTCCCAACATGAAAAGGGAATAAATTGTTTGTAGTTGCCTTTTGAAAATTCTAATAGTCATGACAGTGTTCTTATTAGAGACAAAAAGGGAGTGCTTTGCCAAGAAAAGATGGCAAACCAATGGCAAACCAAGTTCAATAAGGATTACAAAGCCACGTGACGGAGTGCAACAGTGATCTTGGAATTTAAATTTAATAGCTTTTACATTCCATGTGTTTGAGGCATGTAACAGTGATATTTGAAATATAAAGTTCAAATACTTTAACATTTCATATGATTAATTTAAGCCAGTTCAAGAATACTAATATGAATACTTCAAGCCTAGTTTTCAAAAGTTTAGACACCCCGACAGTTCAAGGATTATATATTAAAATTCAAGATATATTGGTCCAAATAAATATTATTGGCAAATATAATTGAATTAATTATATAACTTCAATATATATAATTAAATAAATAAGTCTTAATCCATTGGGCTAGCCCATTTAGTTGGGCTAAAGTGATGAGCCCACTTCATTAAGCCCAAGATGTCATCTTCCTAGAGGCCCAGTTCGGTGTCACATGTCATATGACGTGGCACGCTAAGTCAAGCGGAAGAGCCAATAGGATCATGCCACGTGTCAAAATGACAAGGCATGCCAAGTCACATTAAAAGGCCAATGAAATCGCGCCGCATGTGCAAGTGACATGTTGTGGCCAATCAAAAGCGGGCATGTCACACTTCAATTTGATTGGTCGGAAAGAGTTTGTTCTTATCATAACTCTTCCTTCCCACAACTATAAATAGGGGTTTTCATAACCCAGAAAAGACATCGGAAGTTATAACAAGAAGCAAGAAAGAGCTCGTAGATCAAACGCCGCAAATTTCTCTACAAGTTTCAAGCTTCAAGCAATCAAGTTCAAGTTCAAGCTCAAGAACGAAGAACAAGTCAAGATTCAAGGAGTGCGAGTTCAAATCAAAGTTCGTGCTAGTTGAATTCAAGATCATCGTTCGTGAAAATAAATATAGATTCAAAATCAAGCTCAAAGGCCCTTGAATTTATTTACTATTAGAAAGAAGAATCAAAGGATTCATAGAGATTGTACACTCAAATATTTAAAATCAAATAATACGATTGTTGTAATATTTTTCGGTCTTGATTTTATTTTTTCGACGCAAATTTATTGTCTATAGTAGCCAACATGAAAAGAACATTAAGTAAATGGACATTTCAATTTGGAATACCTACTACCCATTTTGTCTTTCACCACTAAAATGTGAGAAGTTTCACTCAGTGTTTTACGGATTAATTTTCTGTAATTTAGTTCATTTCCTTCCATCTTTTTGCTTGAAGAAGTAGGCAGCCCCTTATGCAAACAGGTTCGATAATATCATGTTTGTACAGTGAATGTGATTGCTCTTTCCTTAACCAGAGATCTCGAGTTCGAGCCCTGGGTATGAAAAAATTATTGGCAGGGAGCGCTTTCCCCCGAATGGGATCCTACGCGGCGCGAATCTGAATATAGTCGAGATCCAATGCGGGTATCGAACACCGGGTGGGAAACAAAAAAAAAGGTTCGATAATATACTTGTAGAGAAAAATTATTAGTTACACAAGAACGCCCCAAAATAAGTACATATACAACAAAGACCCCACACTTCTATCATTGTTAACATTAAAAAGACAATCTCTCGTTTTCTATTATTTTATATATGGTCAATTTGACATGTTTGGAAAACTACAAGATTCTGCATGCTGGTTGAGAGTGCAAAAAAGTTAACAACTAAACATCAGACTGTGATTTCATTTTTTATTGAAAATAGTCCCCCAAAAAAGATATAGCTTGCACTTATGCTCCACATAATTTTCAAGATAGATCTCAAGGAAAAAGCTATGATAGGTCACCATAATTATTGAATTATTTTTTCTTGACCCATTGCCCTTTTATCGTTGTCCCTTGATGGTTACTCCAATCTATAGTTAACACGTTAATCTAGTGGCGGAGCCAGATTTTTCGTTAAGGGGTATCAAAATATATAAAAGTAAACATACCAGGAAATTAAACGGAGTCAATACATAGTATATATATATATATATATATATATATATATATATATATATAATTTTTTTTACCTACCCACATTATATTTTTCCCGCGAAGAGGTGTCATCCCCTTCCTATAAGGTGGCCGAGCCACTGCGTTAATGTACTGAGCCAAAGACGTCATCTAAAATAAATATTAGGGGCAGCTGAAGAAATTTCTCAACGTCTAGAAAACAATCTGCTTATCAAAATCCTCAAACATTCACCAGCCTAATAAATTGTCAAACAAATTAAGTACAATTACAACAACAATCACAACTCAGTTCCAAACAAATAAACTTGGCTATATAAATCCCCAGTGATTATGTTTTCTCATTTAAGTTCTCTATATTTTCTATAGTAAAAATATAAAATTATCCCTATAAATTATACCGTGCATGAATCTGAAACTCAATATTTATTGGGTCATATGTGAGTCTTCCTTACTCCCTATTAACTATGCTAAGAACGAAGGGAGTAAAATCATAAGGATCATTTGGTTTTATGGATAGGAAATAATAATTTTAGGATAAAATGTATTGTGATATGAACCATCTATAGTTATATTTTGTGTTTAGTTGAATTCTTTTATTTTGATCTAAACAATCTCGAGATTGTTTATTCTCGAGATTGTTTATTCTACAAGTGTGTATACGGTCCAAACCGATTTCGACCTTCGTATGAATAGTCAAGATTGGAACATAATGAACCGAAGGTCATCTTCATAATATCGGGATGAGATCCGAAGTCAGGTTACCAAGCTCAAATTTCTGGGACCGATCGAATGCCGAGCTCGAACTCATTACCGAGCTCGAGTCCAAATCGAACTATGATGTGAGGTGGTGTCATCGAGTCTAAGAACCAAAGACTGACCAATATCGAGCCCGAGTCGATATCGAGCCTCGAGTTAATATCGAGCTCTAAATTTGGAAATCGACCAATACCAAATCCGATTGAGATCGAGCCAAGAGACAAGAGCCATTACGACCGCACTGAGGGTGAAAATCTCGGCGGGAATTAGGAAAAAACTAATTTATCATGGGTTCCCCACTATGTATTTTTAATTATATCCAAAGTAGAATCTCCCAGGGATGACTATTATTTCTATAAGGGAGGGAGGATAAAGGCATTCATACACTCTCATATTATTGATATTCACAGAGAAAAACATACTGATATTCATATTTAGATGATCTCTTTTTGGGCTTAGTACATTGATTCATCTTGCTTGTTCATAAAATAACTTCCACTCAGTTTGGTTTGTATTTCATTCTTTATACAGTCAATACTTAATATATTTCTACTTACTTTCCGATTTGTGCCAAGTTATACCATGTATCCTTAGAACTACGTATAAATTCAACTCTATCCGTTTTTCGGGTAAACAAAGTGTGATATTATTTTTATATCACACTGTATATGGAGTAACGAATTTCGGATTGATAATCTCACGATAAATCAACAAAACTAGGGGTGTTTTTCAAATCAAGTAAGTCGCTTTTTCAAATATAGGAACCAAACCAAACTAATTAAGTCGGTTTTTATCGATTCAGTTTATGTCAATTTTTGTCGTTTTTTCGGTTTTTTCGGTTATTTTATGGGGGTTTTCTTAAATATGAGTCACACATATTCCGATGACCACATTTTCATGTAGCACTATCAAACCAATTGCTCTTTGAGAAATCTATCATTTACCAAAATATATTGATGATAATTGAATCAAATAGTAATGAATTATTTAAGGACTCAATTAAAAATAAATTTTTTTAACATGAAATATATTCTTGTACTTAGCAAAGAAAACTACCAATCAAACTAGAATTTAAAAGGCAAAGAACTAGATTATTATAATAGCGATTAACATGTACCATAAAATTTTAAAAATTTTGTATAAAATAATATATATTGGTATAATAATAAATTTTAAATAACTACTTCTATAGTCAGTTTGGTTTGATTTTTTCGGTTATTTTTTTAATTAAAACCAAACCAAAACCAAAACCAAATTTAATCGATTTTTAAAATTCAAAATGAAAACCAAACCAAACAAAAAAAATATCGTTTTTTTGGTCGTTTGGTTCGATTTTTGGTTTGGTTCAGTTTTTCCGGTTTGTATGAATACCCTTAAACAAAACAATGTTTGTCCTTCTCCAAAGCTCTTCTACTAAAGCTTTTTGAGAAAACAAATGTTAAAATTAAAAATAAAAGTTTATCTAGGTTTATCTAGCTAGTATAAAATCAAATACATATTTTATATCATACTTTATATATATCTTATTTTAATCTAATTAACCAAAAATTATTAATAAAATATATCCACTAAATAATTCAATTCTTATTTAATTTTTATACTATTATAATTCCCATATTATAATTTTAGTATAACTTGTTCACTTAATTTTCAAACTTTTTAACTGTAATTGGACATTGATTATACACAATAATACATATATTATATATCAATTATATATTCATCGTCTATTTTTAGTTTAAGAAATTAGGTGAGCGGCTATTTGGGTTAATTCTTCCTAATGGAGTTACGTTAACATTGAGCCTAATAGTAACGGGCCCAAGTAACAGGTGCTGGAAACTCGGCCCCAATTACAAATATGTCATATTCATCCACATTGCCAAAACCCTAAACCACAGAGCTAAACAGCTTCTCTCAGGTAAAGCCATCGCGTTGGTTTTTAGCACTGTCCTCAGCTATGGCTCCAGCTAAAGGTATACCTTTTTCTCTACCGTTATCTCTTCATATCTGATTTTCTGTTATGAATCTGTTTGTGTTATCGGAAATGTGACAAATATTGTCTAGCATTTGGCGTTTCTCTTAGATTTTTGCTAATTACAGAAGATATCTAACTCTTTGTACTTTATTCTAATTTGTGCCATTGGTTATTGAATTATTGCTTAATAAGTAGATATACATGTGAGATTTGGAAAATTTGCAGTCCTAATTAATCTTAAAAGATTTTTTATTGACATTGGAATGAAACAGAGCCAACTAGAGCATATTAGATATTGATCTTCTTATATAAGTGATTGCAACTAGTTTGGGATTGATGCTTAGTTGAATTTGTTGTTATTGGTGAGGTACATTACTCTATTGCTAGATTGAAGCTGGTTGAAAGGTGGGGATGGAGTGGGGGAAGGGAGGGTATAGTGGCTTGGTTAAGGTTAGGGTATGATTATATGAAGGTTAATGTTGTTGAATAGAGGCTGGTATTATTGAGTTTTTGTTGCATTTCCTGATCCAATAGACAACCAATAATTATCATCTTTCTTTTTGTTGAAAAAGAATGTATTACCTGGGACTTTAGAACTTAAAGAATCTTTATATATTGAGGTGATGGGTCATAGACTGTAGTGGTTTTTGGGAATAGAGTCTCTTGTGAATGAGTTTTTGCTGTTTATCTCAACAGGATTGCCGTTCTGATAATTGTGTCTACTGTCTATCGGAACAGTAGATTTAATTGTTTTAAGACACATGATGAATAGGTTACCAGAAGCTATGTTGCTCGGACTCTCCGAAAATGTCGCCGGTTGCGTGTTGGATCCTCCAAAGTAGTGTACTTTTGGAGGATCCAACACGGGTGCTTCAGCATTAATCCTTGTAACATAGACCAGAAGAGAGACTTCGTTGTATCTTGGACATGCTTCTAATTAGTAATTACCATGAGCTAAAACTGTTCTATGACTTGTTAGTTTTATTTCGAAAATTGGAGTATGTTTTGTTGCAGCTCTTAGTAAACTGGCATAGATTCTGCAACTTGATTCTGTTAATGTAATCTCGAAATTCCGTATGCAGTTGATTTGACCAAAAAGAAAGACCCCAAAGCCCAGGCTGTCAAGGCTGCCAAGGCTGTTAAGTCAGGATCAACCTTTAAGAAGAAGTCAACAAAGATAAGGACAAAAGTTACTTTCCATCGACCTAAGACATTGAAGAAGGATAGGAATCCTAAGTACCCCCGCATTAGTGCACCCGGAAGGAACAAACTCGATCAATACGGAATCCTAAAATATCCTCTTACCACTGAGTCTGCAATGAAGAAGATTGAGGACAACAATACCCTTGTCTTCATCGTTGATATCAAAGCTGACAAAAAGAAGATAAAGGATGCAGTGAAGAAAATGTATGACATCCAGACAAAGAAAGTCAATACCTTGATCAGGTAATATGCATTTTTCTCCCTGGTAAACTTTTATGGTTGCTCGTTATAACTACCTGGCATGATTGACCATGACGTGTCAGTTAGTTGTGGTTCATTTAACATGCTATATAGAATTACATTTGCATGCTAACAGTTCCCTGTATTTAACTAGAATGGCGTGATGTTTTTGTCCAAGGACCAGTTAGACCTTTATCCCCCTCCATCAAATCTGCTCAACGTCGAGAAAGTGAATGATTTCTTCCTTGTTTTAAAAATAAAGTAAACGACTTGTGAAAAGTAACATGAATACAAAAAGTTTAGTTATTCACATTCGTAGCACAATGAGTTAAGTCATTTTTTAGAATGCTTATGAATCTTAAGCTTGACTGTTTCTTTTACTATTTTCGGTACAAATTTTCATGCTTAGTAACTTTTGGTCAATTGGTTTTTTGGCTTTTTACAAACTTGTTTTTATTTTTATGACCCTACTTCTTTTTTTTTTACACATGAGAGATTTATTTTTACACTTAAGATCTCTCTTTTACGCTTAAGAGATCTAAAAAGGTCATTTTCTTAAATTCAAAATTGTAAAGGGGCATGATGTACTAATAGCACGTAACTTTTGCCTGCCTTTGCTAAGCTACTTTCTCTACCTTGTCCAGGCCCGATGGAACAAAGAAGGCTTATGTGAGGTTGACGCCTGACTATGATGCTTTGGATGTGGCTAACAAAATTGGAATCATCTAAGTTGATTACCTAGTTTTGAATTTTTATGTCAACCCTGAAATTTTGGATATGAGTTCTTTAGAAACTTTGAACAGGAAGTGCCTTGGGTGATTTATTTTGAATATTTGAGTTTCAGAGATGTGTTTTGTTCCATAAGTCAGGCAAGCTTGTGTTTCTGTTAAGTTTATTTTAAGCTTAGTTTTTGAAGCTTTTAAACTCCTAAGAGTGGAGATCAAGTTCACAATCAACATCTGGCTCGCTTAGTTCTGCACTGAATTATTGCATAATGAGCACACGTATCTTCTTTTTCTTTTCTTTGAATTTTCTGCCCCCTCAGAAATTCTCAAAGTAAAACAAGTGAAATCACACTAGTCATGCAAGAAAGCATCCTCTCATCGCTTCATAACAGTGAACCTTATTTTATATCATTAACGTCTTGTCAACTTATACGCCTTTCCACTAATGGAAAAAAAGACCAAATGTGTTTATTTTACTAGGATTTAAACTCTGATTTAACATGATATTTTCCCACTTTATCGACCATTGAGTTACACCATTCTGTGTTTAAACAATGAAATTTTCCTGCAAATCAAATAATGAGGTACGGTTTTAAAATGCTTAGACCTTAGGATTTTTACTTAAGTTCCCTCCAAGCTTAACAAATTTTTCTGCATAGTAGATTCTTGTACATGGGATGGGATGACTCCTTGCGTTGAATTTTCATCATATTTACGTTCTATCTACTGTAATTTCTTTCGGTAAAGTAATTGACATGTCATTTCTCGCATAGGATATGAAAGCAAACATTATGTCATCCTCCATTTATTTACATTATTTGTTATCTATATACTATGGAAAAGTCCCTTAGCTTTGAAGTGAAAGAATTAGAGGATAATTAGATTTTTTCTTTCTCGTCTCACTCTAATTATTAGTACTATAGATGTTACGTGAAATCTTCATATCATAATTTCTTGAGAAGCTTTCGAAACATCATAATTAATTAATCCCTTCAAAGCAGATTTTTAGCCTTCAATCAAAGATACCACCGGATATGAGCTTAACTGCAATATTTACGCCTTCTAAATTGGAAACGGCTATTTTATGCCTTCTAAATTCCTGCCTGTCATAGAAGAGAATTGCAGCCATCGGCACCTATATACACACAGCCAATCACAAAATATGGCTTCTTTTACTCTGTCTGATTCGTTGTAGCTAATCTTGCTTAGTATTTTGTTAGAGTTGAACCTCTGAAACTTTTCATAGACTATTTAATGTAACGCCCATGTCTTTTTATTCTCCTACACTATTGATTGTTGCTTTCCTCTCCCATTTTGAGTATGACCATATAAGAGGCAAATTTAAGATTTAAAGGCAGCCGGTGCACCATTTTCTTAATACTGAACATGAAGCCAAAGCGGAGGTGCGTATTCAATGATTCGATCGATTTTGTGGGTAATCAATTCAGTTTTCAGTGAATTTTGGAATAAGTTGGATCACTATCCTTGGTTTGGTAGTCAAAGTATAAGTTGGATAAGTCAATTTATACTCTCTAACAACGTCTTTGAATCCAACACTTGCATTTGAAATTATATATATATATATATATATAAAGTTATTCTATCAATAATTCAAGCAAAATAACATTTTCAACAAGTAAATCACACCCATTTTGCGGACAACACAAACAAAAATAACAATTTTCATTTCACATCCATTTATTAAATTTCATTAGTAACTATAAGTGTATTTTCATATTTATATTTTCGATATAGCATTCTCACGTTACTCTAAATATTCTTTATCGTAAAAGACAACCTCTTTAAAGATTTTAAGTATTTAAACAACATCGGGAGCTCAAAAATGCTTCAGTGTGAGGTGTCTAATTAGATTTTCGAATTCACTTTATTTACTTAAAAGGCAAAAATAAAATCTAAAAGCATTTAAGAATTTAAAAAATGTTCCTTTTTTTGTCCACTTCTAAATGTTTCCTTTCTTCCCAGCGATCCATAAAGGTAACATATGGAAAGAAAATCCAGGCGCCTCATTTTGAATTTCTCTTAAGTGGGCCCCTTTCCTACCATTTTATTCAAAAAGTAGCCGTTAAAAAGTCTACATTTTCCGAAATCCGACACACAAATCAAATTCTAGGTTAATTCAAGTGGAGCTTCAACAAGTAAAGCCAAAGACTGAAATTAACCTTTGATTTTGATACTCTTCTTCCTCAACTTTGCTAACTCCAGATTTATTTTTTGAATAGCAGCCTAGTAAGAAATTTTTTTTTTTTTGCTTTTGCATATATGATTGTGCTTAAATAGTAATTTTTGGTTCAGAATGAATACATATACTGATTAATTTAGTCAACACCAACTATTTCTTGATTGATTATTTGAATTATATAACTGATTTGTGTTGTTTGATTTGATTTAGCAGCAGATTTGGGGGGATTACAGATATCATGTCGTTGACACCGGATTTAAGTAGGAAAGTAGGGGTGGGAATGGCACCGTCTCCGTCACCGTTTTTTACACCTAGACCGGAACGGCGGAGGGCAACGGAACCGAGGGGGATTGACTACAATTCCAATCGGTTGGACAAGGATAAAGAGGTCAATGTTCAAGTTCTGGTTAGATGCAGGTTGGCCTTTCCCCTAGATTTTTTGAGTGCTTCTACTCACATTTTTTAGTATGTGTTTGTGTTTTTGTGTGTGTGTTGTGTTTGTTTGTCTGTGTTTGTGTGTCCATTTCTAAAAAGTTTTATGTACTGATACTGTGTAAATTTATGTAGTTTAGTGTAAGATTCCATACCTATGTGCCTAATGTAATTTATGTAGTTTATTTTGGCTTTTATGAACTTCTGCTAACAAATTTGATGCTTCTGTTTTTCTTTGCTTTACGATCCTCGGATTGTTACAAAAAGTGTGAGCTTTGATTCACAGTATCAGTTAGTATATGATTACTATATCCTTCAGTACCTGAAATTTAACCAAGATGAACATTTCCTCGTCGCCTAAACAACAACATCAAACCCAGTGTAATCCCACAAGTAGGGTCTGGGGAGGGTAGTGTATACGCAGACCTTACCCCTACCTTATGAAGATAGAGAGGCTGTTTCCGGTAGACCCTCGGCTCAAGGAACAGTGAAACTAAAGCAACACACAATTGCAACAACAAGGTAGCAGGTAATGGAAGCGAATAACACAACATGTACGAATACGAAACAGGAATAAGAAAGTTGTCTAAAAAAAGGCAGCTTGGTACACTAAGCTCCAGTTATGTGCGGGGCCTGGGGAAGGGTTAGACCACATTGCGGCTTATGTACGAAGTTTTACCTTGCATTTCTGCAAGAGGCTGATTCCACGAGGTCGACTTTTGCCATTGTACCAAGGTTCCCCTCTGTGTCAACAAATCAAGAAAAAATATTTCAGGACATCATGATTTGAATGATGTGAACCTGCCTTTTTTATATTATCGTTATGTGCTTATAAAATGGAATGTGGAAAAACATACCTCAATATGGACATCAATGGCTTAGGATTAGATGCATTGTTGTGCATGGCTGATTGATCTTGTTACACATTGGTTTCAAGCAAAACAAATGCTACAGATTTCATTTGACAAATCTTAGTGTTGTTGTTGTTTCAGGCCATTGAATGATGATGAGCAAAGGATAAATGTTCCAAAGGCCATAACATGTAATGAAAGTAAAAGAGAAGTTTCTGTTGTACAAAATGTAGCTAACAAGCAAGTAGACAAAGTATTCACTTTTGACAAGGTATAATTCTTTGTTTTATAGTAGCGTTTTGTTCATTAAATGGATGGATGGCATGTTAAAAATGTTAGCATTAGGAGCTGTCTTAAAGCTATGCTATTTACCAGGTTTTTGGCCCAAAAGCACAACAAAGATCGATATATGATCAAGCCATTTCGCCCATTGTTAAGGAAGTTCTTGACGGATTTAATTGCACTGTATTTGCATATGGGCAGACTGGTACCGGTAAAACATACACAATGGAGGGAGGGATGAGGAATAAGGTATTAACTGGTTCACTCTACACCATATCATCTTTCACATCGATCTACTCTTGTCCATAAGTCTTGTTCCTTCCTTATGTCATAGGCTGGTGAATTACCAGCTGAAGCAGGTATTATTCCAAGGGCAGTTCGCCAAATTTTCGATACGCTTGAAGGTCAAAATGCAGATTATAGCATGAAAGTGACTTTTTGGGAACTATACAACGAAGAAATCACTGACTTGCTAGCTTCAGAAGAGCCCTCAAAGTCTTCAGAAGAGAGACAAAAGAAGCCTGTATCTCTCATGGAGGATGGAAAAGGTTGTGTTGTAGTGAGGGGTCTTGAGGAAGAAGCTGTGTACAGTGCAAACGACATTTATAACCTCCTGGAGCGAGGAGCAGCCAGGAGGCGCACAGCAGACACTCTATTGAACAAACGCAGCAGGTAGGACCTGTTAGCTTTAATCGATTTAAAAAGTAAATGTTAAGCGACAAGTTAATGATACTCTTCTTCTGCAGCCGTTCTCACTCTGTTTTTAGCATAACTATTCATGTCAAAGAAATGACTGTTGGAGATGAGGAGCTCATTAAGTGTGGCAAGCTCAATCTTGTTGATTTAGCAGGATCAGAAAATATTTCTCGATCAGGTGCACGAGAGGTATGATATTAGCATCACAGATTTGTGCTTTAAAGCAAAATTGGAAAGCTTTTACGTTTCTCTTATACNAACCTTTATTCCTTGCTGTTTTTATGTAACTGTTCATTGGTTATCAATAATCAACAGTGTGGCAGGAACGCAAAATATCAATGTGAAATGCTTATATCCATAAGCAGAAAACATAGTCTTTCTTTAGTTGTGGGGAGGAAGTTATATTTCCTGTCTTTTACAAGTTCTGCTTCCGACTTACAAAAAGAGTAGCAGATGACAAATGAGCACAGGAAATTTTTATCTTAGGTGTGAATTCGAAGTGTGAGATAAAGCAAAATTGAAAAGCTTTTACATTTTCTCTTATACTCAGTTATTCAAATAAATGTTAATTAAATGACAAACGAGCGCTGGAAAAAAACAAAAAAGAACATAATAACAACTATGCCTCAATCCCAAACAAGTTGCGGTCGGTTATGGATTAACCCTGATGAAGCGAATCCAACTTACAACAACTATATCTGTTTGAACTCAGGCTCGTGCAAGAGAAGCGGGGGAAATCAATAAGAGTTTGCTTACTCTTGGTCGTGTTA